ATTTTTTATTATTTAAGATATCCAAAATTGCATTTTAAACTTCTCCTAAACGATATCGTGAGGGCCGATTTTTATGTATTCATCTTTACTTTTCCAATTGTTGTTATAAAGTGAAATTTTTACGAATTTTAAATATATTGTGGAAAGATAAGTAAAAGATGCAAAGAAATTATATATTGAAAAAAAAAACTATATTGAAAATTTAATACCCGAATCTTGTGTTGGCGCCCCCTGAGGCGTGCGCTCATATTTTTCGCATGCATTGGATTAAAGGTAGGACCGGCCCTGATCAATACTTAATTTCATATTTTAAGTGAATTAATTTGTCATATTTGTTCATATGTGTATCTTTCAATCTGCCATACATATACTGTATTTTATATTATTTCAATTTCTGGCACATCTCAGCTGCTTTTTGGCAATAATGATGTAGACATTTCATTTTTCTTATTCATAATCATAAATTTATTATACATATTCTAATATTGTCTAGGTTCATGAGTAAATTGAAATTTTTGGCAGATGATAGTTTTTATTTGATTTCAATGCAAACAATGACATGTCGTTTTTTGCAATTTTTCGATTTTTTTCTACAATATTGCACATACATCCTAGAAAATTTCCTTAACAAACTTCAGAAACATTTATCAAAATCCGAATAATCGTTGAGGAGGAGTATACAGTGAGTGCTTGTAATTTAATATGAACTTTATATAATAGCAATAAAACTCAAATTGATTCAACTATTGATTTTAGTTAGAAAACGTTTATGTGAAAAAGAAAAGGGCTGTTTTTAGGGTTTTTCCGACGATTATTCGAATTTTTCTCGCCGTAAGAACCATCCTTGGACTTCAATGAACATTTTAAAAAAAGAATTTACGAAACCATCTGGTGGCGAAACGGAGTTCGTCGGGTTTGCTAGTTTTTATATATAAGATAAATAAATATATATATATATATATATATATATATATATATATATATAATTGTTTAATTTCTAGGATTTAAAACAAAATGGTTCGTCTGAACCAAATGTTTTATCAGAAACGACGAATATTACAGAATCTGCAGAAGCAAGATTAGGTTGTGTCACCGATGAAGACATCATACCTACAAGAAAGTGTGAGAAAAACAAAATTGATTGGTCAAATAAATTATTTTTAAGTCCGTTGACGACTGTTGGAAACCTTCCGTTCAGGTATTACATACAAAAATATTAAGTTAATGTATTGAGATTGCAATTTTTTTTTATTTGTAGGAGAATATGTAAAGAATTTGGTGCTGATGTCACTTGCGGCGAAATGGCTCTAAGTATTCCTATAATACAAGGTGCAAATCAGGAGTGGGCTTTGGCCAAACGGCACGAATCAGGTATTACAATAATGCATAATTTATTCCAAAAATTATAATATAACTAGTTGGTTTGGTATTTAGCCTTGAGGCAAGTTACATGAACTTCCCGATATGTGTAAATAATCGACTTAATCAGTAAAAAATAAATTAATTTATGAGCGATTAAAAGTATTCCGAGTGGATTTATTACACATAATTGAAAACGAACGAACACGTTAACTCGGAGTATTTTCTAAAAGCACATTTTCAAAAATCAATACTTTAAAACTATTCACGACTACTGATAAAGTATGATATCTTTAAAACTATTTTCAAATTTTATAAATCCGCGCAGGCTTTTTTGCTAAAGCGTCGGATCTTAACAAATGCCAGGAAAGCTCATAAATTTTTCAAAGAGTGATGGTGAAACGACTTATTGTAGGATCGTAATACTTTTAGTATGTTCTGTAAAGACAATGACATATATCGTAAAAAAAATTTCAAGAAAACTGTCGAACAGTAATACTTAACAAAAAAATTACAAAAAAGCTATCTTTACCGAAAATTAATCAGTACGATTTCTAAGCATGATTTTTAGAATCGTTGTTAAATTTTCAAAATGGATTCAGTGTTGTGAGCCGAGCCGTGGACAAACATTTTATCTTTTTCCTAAATTTTAAATTTTTCTAATCAGTTTAGTAGTTTATGGGAAAACGTCGATGAAGGTCTAATTTGACTGAAAAGCGTTACTAGTATTTTTCAAACTTTGATGAATTTTTAAAATTAAACTACTTGTAGTAAGACCATGAGTATATCGCCAAAAAAAGTTCCATAAAAATCGGCTTAAATTTTTTTCCAACAGTTAATTACAAGAAAACGGCTCAGTAGATTTTCACCTAAAACTAATCAATATCATTCCCAACTAATATCTTTCGAACAGTTTTTGATTTTTTAAAATCGGTTCGGTAGGATGAGCTTAAATGTGGACGAAATGTTTAACACTTTTTTTCAAATTACAAAGAAACGGCTTGGCAGATTGTCGCACAAAACTGACAAACGATAGTCCTCACCGAAATACATCAAATGGCTTTTAAATTTCTGAAATCGGTTCAGGCGTTTTTGAGAAAACGTCGATCAAAGGTCTAATTTTGACAAATGTCAAAAAAACCATACCAATTTTTGCAAACTTTGACGAATTTTTAAAGCTAAACGAGTTGTCGTAGGGCCGTAATATTTTAGTATGACCTAGAAAACTATGGTATCTATCACACACACACACACACATATACACACACACACATACTTTTCCCTTAAATTTGGTCTCATTCGATTCAGAATGGCTTGAAACGTCGAGAAAACATAAAATTAGCGAATCGGATTTTTTGATGAAAACATAAACTTCTCCTTCGGGAAGTTAAAAATTATTATTAGATATTAATGAAAATTTATTTCCCCAGAGGATTTGTTCGGTGTGCAAATATGCGGCTACAAGGCCCATTTAGTAGGACAGGCCGTACAAGTTTTGCAAGAGAATTGTGCAATAGACTTTGTAGATATTAATTTGGGGTGTCCGATTGAACTGATATACCAAAATGGGGCAGGGTCTGCTCTGCTTAGAAGACCTGTAAGTAATGATAATTAAAAATCTATAGTAATAATAATTAAAAATCTATAGTAATAATTTTATAAATTGTTTTTTTTTATTTATTTCAGAACATTTTGGAAGGAATGATTCGAACTTGTGTCGATATGATGGACATCCCTTTAACAGTGAAGACTCGAACCGGTGTTTATGCGGATAAAAATGTAGCTCATGATTATTTTCCTAAATTTAAAGAATGGGGAGTTTCTTGCGCCACTGTGAGTCATATTTAAATAATATATATATATTTATATATATATATATATATATATATATATATATGTAATAAATTATATTTTTGTTGTTATTTCAGATTCATGGTAGATCAAGAGAACAAAGATACACGAGGACAGCAGATTGGGAATATATTGAAAAATGTGCAGCGAGTGTTGAAAATCAAATGCCAGTCATCGGGAATGGTGATATATTGAGCTTTCAGGATTACCTTGAAGCCAAAGTAAGATTTTTTTATACATTATATATGTATATATATATATATATTTATAAATATAAAATATGTATAATTATATATACATATATATAAATATAAAATATCCATCTCACAATGTACGGTTCTGTAATTTTTAGACGGATTTTTTTGTTTTTATTTTTTTATAATGCGGGATTAAAAGTTACATAGAGCCCAAAATTTTTACTTTTTTATCACCAACCCCTATTTTTTTATAGCTATTTTAGTAATTCGATCATTTTTCATCCCGCGTTCTGTCATAGAATATTTTTGGCATAATTTTAGTTCAGATTTTTGAGCTTGAAAAGAAAAATCTTAAATTTTACTTTAAAATACAATTTATTATTATTAAGGGTTGTCCAATCCCAATACCTTTTTTTTAGTTTTAGGATTTATTTTAATTTTTTTATTGCGGAATTAACAAAATATATACAACTCTTTTTACTTCGAAATACTATTTATTTTTATCAATGCAGTGACTAAGGTTTGTCCACCTCTATTTATTTTAAATTTTGGGATCAATTTTTTTTATTTTAATTTTTTATCATTTAAAATTGAAACATACATTTACTTCAAAAAACTATTTATTTTTATCAAGGGTTGTCTACCCCTATATTTTTTTTTAATTTTTGAATAATTTTTTTTTAGTTTTGGTTTGACCTTCATTTGACATAATTTTAGTGAAGATTCATTAATTTTTATCAAGGGTTGTCTACCCTAACTTATTTTTTATTTTTTACTAATCTATATTTTAATTATCTATAAATTGAAATTGAAGTGAACATAGAACTCTCTTTAAATCCAAAAACTATTTATTTTTATCAAGGATTGTTCACCCATATTTTTCTAATTTTCAATCAATTTTCTTTTAATTTTAATTTGAACTTTATTTGACTTAATTTTAGTTATGATTTTTTTGAGTACCTATATGAATATGCTTATTACAACAATTATTCAGGGTTGTGCACTCCTAACATTTTTTCAAATTTTTTGATCATTTTTATCAACCCTAACATTTTTTTGAAAATTTGTATAATTCCAAATTATAATCTTTACTTTGAAAAACTATGTATTTTTATCAAGGGTAGCATTTTGGAATCTAATTTTGAAATCAATTTTCTTTTAATTTTAATTTGATCTATTATTTGACATGGTTTTAGTTAAGTTTTTTTTTTGAATATATGAAAACACTTAAATGTTACTTAAAAAAAACAATTTATTTTCATTAAGGGTTGACCACCTCTTCCAATTTTTTATTGTACAAATATTTCCCGATGCGCACAAACAGTACATAATCGATAAACGGTTTGTCTAAAGAGCAATTTTTACTGACAAATAGAGAGCTTAAGTATTAACCCTTTCTAGTCGGATGCAGCCGCAAAATTCTTATGTATCTCGTAAAGCTGTAAAATTTTCCACTCTCTCAATTTTTTTTGAATATCAGTCAAATTGCTTGGGCACGCCACATAACAATATGATTTAAAAATGAATTATCAGATTCAAAAATTACTTAATGCAAAAGAGATTTATCAAAATCTTGAAACTTGAAAATGTGCCAATTCGATTAAAATAGAATCAGTTTCATATTAGATTGGCTTTTGCAAAGACTATTAAGGGACATTTATATGTGACGTGCTTTGCAGTGGGTAAACTATTCATATATTTTTGGCAGCTGCTCCTTTCACTTATGCATCACATTTGCAATCATACTAAACATTTTATACTAGAAATATTTTTATTACAAAACAAAGTTTGCCAGGTCAGTTAATATATATATTTGTTTTTTAGCGTGTGGCCCCACACATAAGTGGAGTAATGTTAGGCCGTGGAGCCCTCGTCAAGCCCTGGCTTTTTACAGAAATCAAAGAACAGAAAGCCATCGACATATCCAGCAAAGAAAGATTCGAAATCCTTAAAAAATATGTCAATTACGGTTTGGAACATTGGGGAAGCGATACTAAGGGGGTTGAAAACACCCGAAGGTAAAGGATAATTAAATTAACTACAAATTTAATCTTTTTAAATTTATTTTACAAGCCGTCAGTATAATAAGGCTTATGTTAATATTTTACAAATTTTATATAATATAATTAATTATAATTATTTTATGTAACAAAGGGTATGGGCGTGTTTCCATACAGAATCGACCCCACCCTGGTATTTAAATAATTTTGATGCCATTTTATAGGTATTTTTGAGAGAATTCGAAATACCAAATTTCAAATCCGTAGCTCATCATTTGGCCGAGATATCACTGAAAACATGTGAAAGTGGCCCCTTTTTTCAAACTCACTTTTTGTCGGAAATATGAGAGATATCGAAAAAATGTTAACGTCATTCTATTTATACTGATCTTGTCTATGTTGTTCATAACAAATAATGTGAAAAAATTATTTGTTAGTGCGTGAAAGGGTGAAAATGATTTCACATTTTCCATTTTCTACCAGTGCGGCTCTTTTGACTACTTTTATATTAGCATCATTCGAAAGCCTGTACATTTTTCTTCTATTATTCAAAAATTCATTTAAATCTAAGTGGAACTTTAGGAGAAAAGTTGGAAAAACTTAAGCTAGTACGCGCGCTGCCGGTACAAGAACGCCCATATAATATAAAGTCGCTTTGCAAGAGCGACGAGCAAGCATAAGGCTCGACAAAATCTGTATATAAGTATGAAAATATTTATTAAAAACCAAAATTTATTTATATCTTGTATATAAGTATATTCATTAGTCATAATAAAAAATCCAGCGCGCCGAATAAAAATACTAATTATTATTATTGATTATTTTCATTCGCCGTATAAGTTCTGACTAATATATTTCAATGTATGAAAAACTAAAGATTTCAATATTTTTCATATATTGAAAGTACATTGAAAAATATATCTCTGTGAGCAATTTGTTTACACATAGAATTTCACAAACGATAATTATTGTGGTTTTCCATGGAGAATAGGTAAAATAGCAATTATTATTTTTTGAATCGATATTAGTTTTGCAAAAAAATATATTTTCTTTTCTGTGCACTATTTAGAACTTGACTGAAATTGCAATAACTTCACATTTTAGTGACAATTTTATCATAATATCGAAAAATTGCAAGTACTACTAGCAGTACAATAAATATTTACATAGAAAGGGAATTAAATTGAGAAAACTGTGGATGATGCAGAATTGTATAGTAGTTACATCGAAAAAATAATTATAATTGTTTTTACTATTCGCTGAACAAATAATAGTTGTCATTTGGTTAGCCATAATAATTATAATTTTAACAACAGAGATATATTTTTTGTAATATACTTTTAATACTTAATATATTTTTAATACTTATATACTTGCGTTGAATAGCTATGAAATGATTCTGACATATATTTTTATCGATTTTTTATTTAATAACTATATAAATTATAACTAGTGGGGTGTATGGCATCGTGCCTTAAGGCAAATTGCTGGAACGTCCTGTATCGTAACGAAATGTTCGAGGAATACTGAATGTTTTCAAATAGATTATAAATAAATATTGTAACATTTGTCTAATATTTATTAGAATTATATAAACTGAATTGCAAAGTTGAAATTATTTGTTTAAGTTATATTAGAACTTTAGTCAGAATAAAAATAAAATCTGAATTATTTTTGATATACAAAAAAACTAAAAAAAAAAAGAAATTATACAATTTTTTTTCCAAAATCAATTATTTTGTTAAGACAAGCAAAAAGTTCCTTGAATTATTTAAATCGGACGCTTAGATCTCTCAAAAACTGTCATCTTTTACATATATAGCTCCATATCTTCGAAATGGCTTGGCCTGCTTTTGCCGAAAACTAATAAACACTTATCCCAATCATTACTAATTGAATGCTTTTTAGATCATTCAAATCGGATACTCCGTTCTCTCAAAAAGTCGATTTCTATTTTCTGCACTCCGTATTTCCGAAACGGCTAGACCTGCCTTCGCCAAAAACTAATCAGCTCTTTTCAGTTCAGAAACCTTCAAAACGTCGAGAAATGTAAAAATTTTCAATTTCGATTTTCGGCCCATTACAATAACTTACCATAAAAAATCAAAAAAGGTAATGAATTAAAATTAAAGTACTTTTTATTGCCGACGTAAATATATGAAAAATATTGAAATCTTTAGTTTTTCATACATTGAAATAGTCAGAACTTATACGGCGAATGAAAATAATCAATAATAATAATTATTGTTTTATTCGGCGCGTTGGATTTTTTATTATGACTAATGAATATACTTATCAACAAGATATAAATGAATTTTGGTTTTTAATAAATATTTTCATACTTATATACAGATTTTGTCGAGCCTTATGATTGCTCGTCGCTCTTGCAAATCGACTTTATATTATATGGGCGTTCTTGTACCGGTAGCGCTTGTACTAGCTTAAGTTTTTCCAACTTTTCACCCAAAGTTCCACTTAGATTTAAATGAATTTTTGAATAACAGAAGAAAAATGTACCGGCTTTCGAATGATGCTAATATAAAAGTAGTCATTTTCTGGTAGAAAATGGAAAATGAAAAATCATTTTCATCTTTTCACGCACTAACAAATAATTTTTTCACATTATTTGTTATGAACAACATAGACAAGATCAGTACAAATAGAATGACGTTAACATTTTTTCGATATCTCTCGTATTTCCGACAAAAAGTGAGTTTGAAAAAGGCGGCCAACACTTTCACATGTTTCACTGATATCTCGGCCAAATGATGAGCTACGGATTTGAAATTTGGTATTTCGATTTTTTTCAAAAATACCTATAAAATGGCATCAAAATAATTTAAATACCAGGGTGGGGCCGATTCTGTATGGAAACACGCCCAGACTAGGGAATGCATACCGATGGAAAATTTCAATTCCGGTAATTCGGTAATTTTTCATTTTAAAACCGGAATACCGGTAAATTACCGGTATTTTTATTATCTTAAACAAACGTGAACAAAATTGAAAGTTACTAGTACAAATATAAACAAATGTATATATAACTACAACTATATTCAACTAAACAATAAAATAATTTTTATTTTTATATAATAATTTAACAAAATTATATCCAATTTAATTAATTCATTATCACTATCGAGTATATTGAAAACTTTTCACCAAAAACAAACTTATGAGTAAGAAAGACCAAAAACTCATAAAAGATCATATTACATTATTATAATAAACTGTATGTGTTAAATTAGCATAATCTCCAATATTAAAAAAAAAAAATTCTACACTAATTTAATATCGGATATTTTGTCAAGATAAATAATAAGTTACTATAATTGTTGAGTATTGTTATTTATCACATTGTGATGCTTCTATAGTATTTTCAAACTACGAAACGTTTTCGAAAAATTATATTTTATAATTGAAATAAAAAGCAAAAATATTTATTAATTATCATAATTATTATGTATAAAGTTAGAAAAAAATAAAGATTACGCAGGGGTAATCTGTATGATATAAAATATTTTGGCGCAAATATCACTTAAAAAACCGTTACATTTTTACAAAAGATGAAACAAACATCTATTATTATCTATCAGTCCAATTCTATTTATTGTAACACGATATGAAGCCCTTTGGAAAGCAATAAATATTCAATTTAATGACGAGTTGAGATAATATTTGACATATGTTTATCTTATACAATCACTTGAAGATATAGCTGTTTATGCGATTATGGAATTTAATGATAAATTTGTTCCGAGAAATTTAAACTTTAGTGTATTATGTATCAAATAGCGCTTATTATGTGAAAATACCAAAAATACCGGTATTTTTGGGGTAAATACCGGTAAAAATAGCGCCGAAAAATCGGGCGGTTTACCGGTAATTCGGTATACCGGTATACCGGTATTGCATTCCCTAGCCCAGACCCTTTCTGGTTATTTGATTATATGACTATAATATATACTGTTGTGACGAATTCTAATTATTTTTTTTTTTACAGATTTCTATTAGAATGGCAATCATTTCTCTACCGATATGTGCCTCTGGGTTTGCTAGAAAGGCCTCCACAAAAAATTAATGAAAGGCCACCCCTTTATCGTGGACGGGATGATTTGGAGACAATGATGGCTTCGAATAATTGTAAAGACTGGATTAAATTAAGTGAAATGCTTTTGGGACCTGTTCCCGATGGATTTACCTTTTTACCAAAGCACAAGGCCAACTCTTATTCCTGAACGAACACGATTGTATGTAATGTAAGAATTTTGTTTTATTTTATTATTAAATCATTTGTATATAGTTAGAAAAATATAGATTTGTTTAGATAAAGGAATCGTATGATACTCTTTTTATAAGGACCTAAGTTTTTTATTAACTTCCCGTAGGGCAAGTTATAGTAATCGCAAAAAAAATCGAAAATGAAAATTTTTATATATCTTTACGTTTCAGAGGTTTCTGAACATTTTGGCATACCTTAGAAAAAATGGATGTATGTGTGTGTGTGTGTGTGTGTATGTATGTACGTGTGTGTATGTATGTGCGGATACAAATTTTCGTCGACGATTTCGGGAACACGGATCAACCGATTTGAATAATTCAAAAAGCATTCGATTTGTATTGATAAGGAGACGTGCTGATTAGTTTTTGGCGAAGGCAGGTCCAGCCGTTTCAAAGATACGGGGCAAAAAGTGCCGAAAACGGTAACTCAGTTTTTAAGAGAACGGAGCGTCCGATTTTAATAATTCAAAAAACATTTGACTTGTATTGACAAGATGAAGAATTGATCAAATTTTCATAAAGGCAGGTCTAGCGGTTTCGGAGATCTAACGAAAAAAGTTTAAAAAAAATGCCATTTGGCGGTCAAAAATGATCATTAGACATATGCACATCAAATTATCAGATATTTTATAGAGATTTTAACAATAAGTATAAATTTTGTTTACATTCCTATGGGTTCCGTACCAATGTTTATTCGTTAGATGGCGATGCGGCGCTTACGCGCTTTTACATTTTATCTCCATGCAGTTAAAGCAGTACGATTGCTTTGAAAAAAGTTCAGATCTTCCAAAATATGCCAAAATGAAGAAAACATTATTTTTACAAAAAAAAAAAAAAAAAAAAAAATTCAAAAAATGTCAATCGTTTTTAAAAAAATAATAATTTTTGGTACGGGAAGTTCCAGCAATTTGCCTTAAGGCACGATGCCATACACCCAACTAGTTTTATTATTTAGATCATTTTCCATCTCCTAAAGATAGATGCATAATTTGCTCGTCAGTAGAGTCCTTTTCTTAAATTTCTTCTAGTGATAAATATATGATTTGCTTGTCAGTTGAGTCCTTTTCATCTGCTAAAGATAGATAATTTGCTCGTTAGTAGAGTTATTTCTCATTCCCTAAAAAAAGATAATTTGCTCGTCAGTAGAGTCTCTTTTCAGTCAGTAGAGTTTGTTTTTATTTCCTAAAGGTAGTTAAAAAAAATGTTTTACAGTATTGTTCACTTTTTTAAGTTTCAAGGTCGATTATTAATTTGCTCGTCAGTAGAGTCCCTTTTCATCTCCTAAAGATAGTAAAAAAAATTGTTTGTTAATAGAGTTCCTTTTTTAAGTTTCGTTCTATTATTAATCTGCTCATCAGTAGAGTTCTTTTTTATCTACTAAAGATGGATAAATAATTTGTTTGGCAGTAGAGTCCCTGTATTAATAAATCTTTAATAAATTTTAAACCATTCGATTAATATGAATGATGTGTTTGGTGAACGCTATATACGAGGTCTGTTCAAAAAGTACCCGGAATTTTCGTTTTTTCAAAAAAATATTTATTTATTCGTCTACATTAATGTGGTCCCCTTCAAAGTAGTCCCCCCCAGATATAATACACTTATGCCAGCGTTTTTTCCAATTTTCGAAGCATGATATTCACTTTTTGTTATGTCCTTGAGCACTCTCAGCGATTTTCTTCAATCGAGGAAAACCGCCGTCCTTTCATGGGTCTCTTCAACTTTGGGAATAGGAAAAAGTCACACGGAGCCATATCTGGTACAAATACAAATTCTTTGACTTTTCAATTCTTCCATTGTAAAAATCGCCGAGCTCAGAAAAACACGTCGAACCTTAGCGACTACCACAGACAAAGTAAACAGTGAATATAGCTGAAAATTTCATCATACTTTAGGGGCATGTATACCAACACAATAAAAAAAAAATTTTGACAATCAGACACTCCAGACCCGCGAAATTTAATTATTAGTAATTCCGGGTACTTTTTGAACACACCTCGTATACATATATAACATATATTTATATTTGTATGTATGTATGCATGTGTGTATGTATGTGTATATGTATGTGTGTCCTAATTATAGAAAATTAATTGAATTGAAATTAATTTGTTGTTCCATGGAAAACAACACAACAAGATAAAAATAGATCCAGAGTGCGACTCTTTGTTATTTATTAATCTTGATTAAACAATAGAAATTTAAATTATTTCTGTAATTACGAAATATTTATACACACAGATAATGTATATATATATATATATATATATATATATATATCGTGCCTTGAACTAGAAATCGAAATCAAAACAAATGTTCTTTGAAAATGAGCATTTGATTTCGCTGTTTTTGTTAAAATTCTGAAAAATAACCATACTGTGCAAAATGTTAAAATAATGAAGAAAATTTAATCTGTGTGACTTGGATTGAGAATAATATCTTGAATTAAACTATATAAAAAATATTTTGATATAATATTTATATTTTTTTATTTGAATTATAATATAAATTTTGTACATCTCAAACAGACGGAAGTGTCTGGTACGAGAAATCGTACAAAATATCTATACAATAGTATATATTTGTTTTCTACATGCCATTATTATATATATGTATATAATATGGTTATAACAACATTCTATATCATTTATTCTATATTTCAATCATACGTATATTCATTTTTACATTTATACTTTGGCTTAATTTATTTATCTAGATTTTCTTTATAATATTCTTTTAACTTTACTTAAAACTTGATTTTAAATTTAAAAATATTTATTAATGATTTTGATTGACTAATTTTTTTTAAAGTTACATGAATTTTAATAAAAAAAATTGAGGGTTTGTCAAAGTTTCGTTAACACGATTAAATATAAGACGATAGTTTCTCATAAATGACGCAAAAAATATGAAGTATGAATTTGATAAATTACATAGATTTTGAGTGCAACAAGTGTGTATGTTTATGTGTGTATGTGTATATATTGTATTCCTCTAAATTAAATGTATGTATGTATGTTCTTGTGTGTTTGTGTCTCATGTGTCGGTAGCGTGTGCTCCATTAAAAGTTTAGTTGGAACTAAATTGACACACGTAGACTTTTATTAACCTTAACGACAGGGCTTGCACTTTGTTGACCAAAAACCGATCGAGACAATTCTCAAATGATATTTTCCAAACTGTTTTTGAATTTTCAAAATTGGTGCATGATTTTTACCTAAAACCGTTGACGAAAATTGTTGCACTTCTCTTGCTATTTGTAAAGAAATGGCTCGGTGGATTCTTGCGCAAAACTGACAAACGCTAGCCCTTATCGAAATATGTCGAAGGGCTTTTAAATATTTGAAATCTGTTCAGCCGTTTTTAAGAAAACGTGGACGAAAAGTCAAATTTTAACTCACACACACATACTTTGTTTTTCCAATTTCGGTGCCAAACGATTCAGAATGACTTGGCATAAAATTAGCAATTCGCTTTTTTAGTGGAAGCTAAACTTTTCCTTTGAGATGTAAAAATATTATTCATGACTATTATACACCGAGGTTCTCACAATAATACAAATGAACTAAAATTTAACTATTTAAGTCCTACATTTCTTTTTGAACAAGGAAAATGGTATATTTATTTTTATTCATTCCTTTATTTAATTTTTTTTTTGATAATGCCATTACATATTTATATTTATTTATCTTCGGTGCCTTAAGGAGGTATTCTAGTGTAGGCGATGAATTTTAGGTCATTTTTAAAGTGTCGTAAAAGAAAGCAATGAATGTTTTAACTATCCATTTTTTTTACCACTTGTTTATTAATATTATTAAAATACATAACAAAAATTGAAAAATAAAAAAGTTGAAAATTGTAAAAACTGGCAGCTGATGAAGCGGGTGGTCTCAAAAAATTGGCACCTCAGTCTTGACATGATTTCAGCCCTCTCACCCATCGGAAATGCAAAAAATAAATATATTATTAATCTACAATGATGTCGCAATCAACCGAACTAATAATGAGTAAAAAAAATGATTTTTTTACAAATTGGCGACTGTTTGAAAAAAAAGTGTTCTTTTTACTGTTTTTTGAGTTTCTCGAGTTTTTTAAAAATAGTAAAAATTGAAATTTGGGGATAATCTCAGTTCGGGCTATAGATAGGTCTATAAACAAGACTCTCTGAACATTTCAAGTGAATCGGTCGAGTAGAACTCGAGAAATCGTGTCAACAGTACTGAAAAAGTCTGTTCTGAAAGAAACGCATTTAAAGTTTTGTGTGAAGCCACCCCAGTATAGAGACCGAGTCAGTAAAATGCCTATATCTCCGAAAATAATTCAAATTCTTAAAAACCTTCTCGTACCCATATTCTTAGATAGTTAAAGTTTGAAAATATGAAATAAAAAAATCGATTTTTTTGAATTTCTACACTAGAATACCCTCTTAATATATATTTTTATAGTACATGTAAATAGACGAATTTGTAGTGCATTTATCTATTATATTTCTTATAACTTTCAAAGTGATATGAATATGACATGAAAAAGATATCAAACGAATTTAAACAATATTGAATAATGCACTTTTTATTCTTGTATTATAAATCCCTACAGCAATTTGGAATACCTTAAAAATGTATTTGAAGGTTCAATATTATTTATACTAGCAATATGAACTGATTTATCTATTATATCTCTTGTAACTTCAAAACCGCCAGTTTAATATAAATGAGATATTTAGCGAATATGTTTGGAATTGAATAATCTACATTTCATTCTTATATCATAAATCCCTACAGCATCTCGGTATACCTTAAAATAGAAATTGAAAATACAACTTTATTCAGTCAGTATTCTATACTGACTTGTTTTTGGTGATCTATAAATTTAGTGGTATTTATTGTATCTTTTGTAAATTTTAAAATCTTTAACATTAAGGGGTACGTAGTGAAACCGCCTAAAAAAAGGTGATTTTTGGGAATTCATATTAAAAAAACTACTTTATCAATCATTTCAAAATTTTAGGAATATATTTATACATGTTTTAAGAATACATAGTAAAATTTTTGAAGAAAAAAATTAAATATTTTTTAAGTTATTGTCGATCTCCAACAGTGCGACAAAAAAAGGCCCTTTACTGCTGCAATTGATTCCGGTCAAAATTCGATTTTTAATCCGATCAAAAAATCGATAGTTCATTTTACAAAGAACTGTATATAGAACATGTAAAAAAAATTTGATAGTGATCGGAGCATTTGTTTTTGAGTAATCGCTGCAGCAAATTCGGAAAATGCTGTTTTGAGAAAAACGCGTTTAAAGATAAAATGATCGTTATACTATATACTATATATGTACTCTTTAAATGGCTGTGACTCAAAAACTGTTTAAGATATCGATTTAAAATTTTGGTATGTTATTTTTAAAGGTATAACCTATCGAAATATGGAAAAATTGAAAGTTCGGTTTTTTGAAAATTTCACACTAGTTGTGCACCTTAAATAAGATATTAAGCGATTTTTTGGTGATTTTGATCATAATTTTGTTATGTACTCATTTATCGCAAATTCGGAAAAAATTAAGTCTTTGTAATAAATCACTAAATCGTTTTGTTCTATCTACACATAACTAAAATCCGAACATGATATGCGCATTTTTTTTTTTGAATATCACCAACTTTTAAATTTAACAAAAACAATTACAACTTTATGCCTATCTATTTCTTCATTCATTAATATTTTTTTTATTTTTTTAATGGTCAACCCCTGTACCTTATCCATCCATTTATTTGTCCAGCCTCCGCCTCTGGACCGTTTTTCACCATCAGCTCAAGAGACTCAATTGAGAAATTATTGCGTGTCAGTGGTTCACGAATCTAAAACGTGAAAAAAAATAAAAGTGATTTAATAATAAAAATCATCTAAAACATTCTACATCAGTAATAAATAAACAAATAAATAAATAAATATTCGTTTTAATTACCAAGTTTGAAAAACTTTGAAGAAAATCATCGGTTTTCTGTGTGGTCGTTGTAAAATGACTTTTGGTGTTGTAAGTTAAAAAAAAATGAATTAAATTACTTTTTTTTATTCAATCATTATATTAAAAACATAAACTAAATAAATATAAAATTATACAAATCAATAAATAAATTTAATGTAAATAATATTGATATTAAATATAAAAAATTAAATATATATGTATATAAAAATTTTGAATTAAAATAAATTGACAATTGATTTAAATTATATAAATTAAAATAATCATAAATATAAATTAGGTGTAAGTGGCATTTCGCCTCGAAGCGAAAATAAAATTTTCAACTGTTCATGAAAATAAAATTTTACGTCAACAAAAACAATATTTTTTCAACTTGTATATATACATTAGGTTGTCAAATATCTCCCTTCCGCCTTTTTGTATTATAAACCAATAGCAAAAAAGCGGAAGGGAGATATTTGACAACCTAATATATATATATATATATATATATATATATATATTATAATTTCGACCAAGAAGAAAATATTTTGGCATTTAAAAATTTAGTGCATATTGGATATATAAATTTGACATTCAATATTTTTAAATTAAATGCAAAAGTAAAAAATCTGATATTTATATAAAAAATTATATATTTAGATAATGGTACTGCGTTGATTCAGACTAAAATCTAATTTATTCATTGATTAAAGAAAATATTTCACTATTTGACATAAATAAAATTAAAATAAACAAAACACTATGATGCGTTGGAATTAATTATCGAAATGTAAAGAAATTTGTGTAATAAAAATATAACATTATTATTAATATATCATGTATATTATAAGAACTTCTGCAAAGCGGCAAAATATTTTTGATGGCAAAACAACGTTTGCCGGGTCAGCTAGTATATATATATATATATATATATATATATTTATATTTATATATATGATAAAATTGTTCTTGGGCATCCATCCAGTAATTAAAAACAGTTTTATTGAAAGAAAATGTTTTTATTCATTTTCCGCAAACACGTACGCACAAATTTTACATGTAACACATACTCCAAGCTGACAACATGTTCTTTTGGAATAAGCTTTTTTATAATAAAATATATTATTTATTTTAATTTTACAATTATTTAAAATTTATCATAACTCGACGTTTTATCAATTTGTTGTTTCATAATATTTTCGTGCAATTTTGTGTTGTTTTTGTGTTTTTTTTTCCAAATTTATTTGTATGGTGAGTTTCTTTACATTTGTTTATTCTATGTTTGTTCTTCATATATACTTTCACAATATATATTTGTTATAAAACAAATTTATTAAATTGGTTAGATTTATGTTTCTTTACATGTTTTTATTTATTTTTGTCTGTAATTATGTATTTTTTATATTGTTTTAAATTGTAACCCTGATATAATTAATTGTAGCACTGAAGATGGGTCAAATCAAGACCCGAAACGTATGTTTTTTGAATAAAAACATTTTCTTTCAATAAAACTGTTTTTAATTACTGGATGGATGCCTAAAACAATTTTATCATATTATTTCACCATCTGAAGAAAAACTTATCGCTTTATATATATATATATATATATATATATAAAGCGAATATTATTATTAAATATATATATATATATATATATATATATATATGAAATATTAATAAAATAATTATTATCCTTGAAAATTTTCCTTACAGATTTATAATTTTAATAAAAAAAACCTTCATGTTTTTAGTGTTAATTTTATTTTAAATTAATTGTAGTTAGTCATGTTATTTATTTGCATAAGTGTTAATTCGTATAAAAAGTTATGAGTGTTAATATTTAAATAAACTTTAAATTAATTGCACTTTAAAAGTTAATTTTAAAAGTGTTTTGGCAAAATGAAGACGGATTTTGGAAATGGTGCCAGTGTTGCAGTAAAAGGGTGAGTTTATTAATATTTATTTATTTATTTAAATATATATATATATATATATATATATATAAATCAGTTTATATTTAATATATGAATGGGGTCTTGTAGTTATTTTTAGCACAGAGTGACAATTGCAAAATGGATTTAAGTGGATAATGTCACTCTGAACAGTTTAATCCATTTATATACACATTATATATATATATATATATATATATATATATATAATCTCATTCAATTTTCAATATACTGACATTTATTTAAAAAACAATAAACTACAGGACCTTATAAAGCTTTTCATAAGCTTGAAATATTTTTTTCTATTGAATAAATAAGTAAATCACACAATTTGAGCATTAATTTCCGTACCAGTGTTTATCCGTTAGACGGCGACGCGGCGCTTACGCGCTTCGATATTTCGTCTCTATGCAGTTGAAGCAGTACGATTGCTTTGAAAAAAAGTTCAGAATAATTTTTCTTCAAAAAATTTTTTTTTCAAAAAATGGTAACTTTTTGTCAAAATTTTATAGTTTCTCAAAAATCTAATTGTTTCAGAGTAATTTTTTTTCAAAAATGTTAATTTTTTTAACAAAAATAATTTTTGGTACGGGCAGTTCCAGCAATTTGCCTTAAGGCACGATGCCATGCGCCCCACTAGTTTTTTATCTAGATTATGATTTGTTGAAAAGATAATAGAATTTTTTTAGCTTTGCTAGAATTCTGTTATTATTCCATACAAGAAATAGATTTTATTATTTTACAACTTTGACTAAATAGTTGTAAATGACTATATATATATATATATATATATATATATATATATACATGTATAAGCACACAAGTATTTTATAGCAGTTAAATAGTTAACCTCTCGAAGACCTTGAAAACACAATTGAATTAAAATCTCTTTAGATTTCTTATAGGAAAATCACTATTGAAATACAGACACACCAATATATATATATATATATATATATATATATATATATATATAAAAGGATTTAAAATACTTGAATCAAAAACTTCTCGATGGAACATTTCTCGCTTTACAATATTTATTATTCTTTAAATCTCTTGTATTATAATTAAAACATTAGAACATATATATATATATATATATATATATATATATATATTATTAATATTCAATTATTTTCTAGGGCTGATGTCCGTCGTAGAAGAACAGGAAACTTCTCCATAACTCCAACGGAAGGCAGTGAACTGGTCTTCGAGAATACTAAATTTTTAAATACAAAAGTCATGGGAAAACGGTGAGTAGATAAACCATTCTTATTTTTCAAAATAATATTAGTTATATATAAATAACTAACAATATTTTTAAATACATAATTATTGTTAGTCGATGTAAAATGTTTCCCATTAGTAATAATAGTGATAATAGTATAGTGCGTAGTGAAAGCATTATAATAGTGTTATTAATTACTAAAGACTTAATTATTAATTAATTAATCCAGTTATCTAGATAAATTCTTCTCATTTATTCCGCCTGCTTGTTTGCAACTAAACGTACATCAAAGTTCGTGTCTATACATTAGGTGTATTATTTTATCTTGCAGTACAAAATGATAAGATACAATGTTATTAATTAAATTAATTAAATTATCTTATCTTGTTTTATGAGTAATGAAGGCACTTCAGTTTATCTTTATAGATTTAAAAAGAATGCGATTTATTTTAATATTTTATGAATATTTCATATAAAAGTACATATACTGTGTTGAGTGAAACTTATAATTATATAACAAGAATATTCTTTTGATAAATTGTACTAAAATCATATATATATATATATATATATATATATATAACAGCAATGTTTATTTATGAATAAACCTCACATTTCGTCGTTTGCTTCTGAGTGTTTCATGTAAAACCGGTACGCGGATTTTGTCACCAACCTGAATCTACCCCTCGTTTGAGGTTAAAGGCTTTTTACGCCTACCGGTTTCCCTTGGGACACGTTTTTAAAATTATATACGTTTTTTATTCATAGTTGTTATTTTTGTTGTAAGCTGTATATCTATTCATGAACTAATGTCAAATTTTATTCTAAACTTATAGAGGGCATATAAAAAAACTAGTGGTTTATGGCATCGTGCCTTAAGGCAAATTGCTGAAACTTCCCGTACCGTAATGAAATATTCGAGAAATTTTAAACGTTTTCAAATATATTTTTTACAAATACTGGGTAACTTTCATTATTTTTGCTATCTTTTGTTGTATCTGAGCAAATCAAATGTAAATCATAAATAAATCAATTTATCTCCAGAACATTAACAATCGTCATTTCATTGCGAATTCAATTTCAAAAAAATAAATTAGTTGCCTAATTTACACAAAATTGAAAAAGTGCTCCTATATAGTCACAGTCTATACGCATTTGCAAATAATTCTGTGCGACATTTTCACTTATACTGTGCTTAGCTTGGCGGCATTTTCACATTTTCAATAGATAGAAAAGATTTACATAAACAGTCTAAACGCACTTGCGAAAACATTTTTGCTTAGCTTGGGTCATTTTTTGAATTTTTAATCTAAAATTACAAAAATATTTAAAAAAAAAAAAAATTAGAAGGAATTTTTTTTCCCAAAAGCAGTTATTTTGTCGAAACAAGCAGACAGTTCTTTGAATCATTTAAATCGGACGCTTAGTTCTCATAAAAACTGCTATTTTTTTACATTTAGCTGTGTTTCTCCGAAACCGCTGGGTCTACCTTTGCCAAAAACTTATAACCACTTGTTCACGTCATTACGAACTGATTGTTCGTAATGGCAAAATGTTTAGAAACTTTCAAAACGTCGAGAAATGCAAAAATTTTCATTTTAGATTTTCGGCCCATTTCTATAACTACCCTACGGGCAATTAATTAGATCTTAATTTTGCTTTTAATACTTGGACACAAACCTTAATAAAAATTGTATATATATACATATATATATATATATATATATATATAGTATGTGTATATATTTTATGTATATTTATTTTAGCGGCTTAATTTAATCCAAGTAACATCAAAAATAGATTTTTTACGATCCGCATTAAAACCCGATATCAGAGAAAATCGAACGAGCATGACGCAAAGTTATCGGAAAAATTTTTTATGTGCGAAAATAAATATGAACTGATAGATTTTTTTGTACAAATATTTATAAAACAAGATAAGATTGTATATAAATTTTAATAGTAAGAAAAATGGGAAGTGGGTTGTAGACTAAAATTCGGCAAGTTCTGTCTTTTTCTTTAAATATTTTTTATAACATTTCTATAATTGAGAAACAAGAGATAAAATAGATAAAAATTTTATTAAACGAGTAAGAACTTGAAAGAATAAATAAGTAGAAAATGATTGAAGGAGTGAGAAATTGAAAAAAAATAGTGTTTGAAAAAAATTAATAAAAATTCGAATGAATGAATGAGCGAGTAATTAATTCAAGAGATTTAATTCAGAGAATACAAAAGATTTTAAATGAATGAGTAAGAAATTGAATAAAAGATGAAGAAATCAAATAAATTGTCGAAAAATTAGAATGGGGGTGAGAAATTATAGAATGAGCGAGTAAATAAAAAAACGAGTGAGAAATTGAATAAAAGAGTAGAAATTGTATAAATCAGTGAGAATTTGCATAAACGAGTGAGAATTTGCAAAAAAGAGTGAGAAATTGTCTGAAAGAATAAGAAATTGCTTAAAAGAGTGTAAAATTGCATAAAAGAGTGAAAAATTATATAAATGAGAAATTGCACAAAAGAGTCAGAAGTTGCATAACAGAGTGAGAAATTGTATGAATCAGTGAGAACTTGCATAAATGAGTGAGAAATTGCCTAAATTAGTGAAAAATTGATTTATTGGGTGAGTAATGGGGCAAATATTTGATAATTGAACGAATCGATAAAAAATTTAATGAATGAATGAGAAATTAAATAAATTAGCGCAAAATTTAATAAAACAGTGACAATTTGAAAGAATGAATAAAAATTTGAATTGAGTTAGAATTGAATAAATCAGTAAGTAGTTAAATGAATGTTTGACGAATTGGATGATTTTGTGAGTGAGACATTATATAAATTGTCTAGAAATTAAAAGATTGACCAAGAATTTAACACTCTGGGTAAGAATTGTAGAATGAGCAAGTAATTGAATGAACGAGTGAGAAATTTTATGAGTGAGAAATCAGCATAACAGAAAAAAAAATTGTCAGAGAATATTTTTTCTTTTTTCGGAATATAATTTTATTAAATCTTTAAGATGATATAAAAAACAGTTCTAGAAAGGCGCCTTAAGCGAAAAGCGTATTATGCGGGATCGAGACCAAATATTTCAAAATGTAAGAACAGGGGTGGGCAAGGTTAATTAAATTATGCAAGGTGCATTATCGCCTTAAGTTCCACCATAATTAGGTGCAAAAACAATCATTTATTCAATTTTAAAATATTAAATTTTGTTTCCGAGTTTACGTATTTAGTGTATTTTTTCTTCATCTATTTTATTTTATTGATTTTAATCTATTTCTCTCTCTCCTTATTATTATTATCTGTTTTTTTTTTCAGTAAAATCTCGAACGAAGTCCTACCTCAAGGCTCTGCCGGCGTTTTCCGACAGAAGTCATTCGCAACATGTGACCGGCAGCTGACATCGGGTGCGTTTTTTTGCACAAAAATCATGCACTTTTTGTATATTATATATATATATATATATATATATATATATTATATATATATATTTGAGAATATATTTATATTTAAGGTACATGTCACGATGTATGAGCGGAATGTTCTCCTAAAGTACTGAACCGATTTTGAATTTTATTGGCTCACTGCTTGCATTTATAGAAACTTAGGTTATAGGCTATAAAAAAAATCATATTTCATATTCCAAATATTAACATTTTAGAAAT